CACTCATCCCCCAATACATATAAACAAATAATTAAGGAATTGGTGTTACTGAAGACCTATGTAATGTAAAACAATTTGGAAACACATTTGATTAGGTGTAGCAGTGATTTCTTTGTATTGGGCAACAAAGATCTGAAACTTCCCATGGTGATGTGCCTGCTGCACTTTTTCTCTTGCTACTTAATTAGATTTTAAACTTCAGTCTAATCCTTAGGGGCAGATATCATGACAGGTGCTCACAGGAGTAGGGAAAGAAAGCAACAGCTTCAAGAGGCCACTTAAGAAGAGAATGAAGGAATTTTTTTGACCAGAGTCAGTGACCCTCAGACTTTTGTAAGGTTTTAAAACCATGAACACTTTTTGCATGTCTATTATTTTTTGACATCTTGATGATGAAACTCTAAACGACCCTGGCTTGTTTTCTAGGACAGCCAGGAAACAGGAGACTGGCGAGACTGCTTCCTTCTCAGCCCTGTGAGAGTGTGACACCCAAGGGAGGGAGTGTGGGGGAGTTGCTTTAATGAGGAAGGAGAAACACGCCACTCCCTCGAGTTGTGTGAGAAGAAAGTGAGGCCTGGGGGACTGTCTGGGCTTGAGAGGCAGCTGCTTCTGACACTGATAAATGATTCAACTGAAGCAATAAATGAAGAACCTCTGAGTAACACCGGAGCCATGTTATTACACTATATGCCCAGGCAAGAAATTCTGTAGGTGGTGAATCCTCCTTGGGTCTTTTCCAAAGAGGAGTATTAGTAGGCAATGCAGACAACTTAATTACAGTAGACTCACTTGCCCTTCGGTTGCCGTGGGCCCTGGGGAAACTGTGACCAAGAGTTAGAATAATAATTTTATCTTATTCTGTAGGTCATGACATTTAGAAAATCGAAGGGAAAATTCTCAAGCCTGTGGAACTTTTAATCCCTTTTCTGCACATACCCGTGCACAATACACAATTCAAGGCTGAGCCACTGAAATGGTCATTTTCAGAGGAATTGGGATGGACTTTCGATTCAGTGAAATCTGAGCAGTGCTGTGAGAACTTATTTCTGTAGTACAGATGTCTTCCTCTCTTTGGTAGCTTTGACAGTTTGCATGAGATTTCAAATAAAATCTGAACAGATAACTAAAAAAAATTTATTTCTCATTTAAAGCATATTTGTGATTCACATAGAATAGTGATGTTAAGTAAATTTTACTATGCAGTAGGTTTTGTGCAGAAGAACTACTCTGTGGCATGTTAATAGGTGAAACATTTCTCTCCAGAGCCTTTTATCTTTTGATTCAGGCGGAATTTTATATGAAATCCAATGTGGTTATTACCAAATGCTTTATGAACTTTAATACTCATGGGGAAAATTAAGAATTTTAATAATTGGAAAAGAATAAAGTTATTTAAATCAGCCTCCAGTTTATCTGGTTAAATTGAACTCATCTATTTAAGCCATTATTGTATAATTTGAACTTTCTTCCACCCTTATGATATCTAAAAATTTCTTCTGGGATTCTTATTTTATTTTAAAAATGTTTATTGTTCTCCTTGGACTAGGAGTGCAGTGTATAGATTGGTGCCTGAATCATTTCATTCTCTGTCTTGTCCTGAAAGAGAAGGCAATGACTTACATGTGGGCTTGACTGGACATGCTTTATTCCTTAAATATTTGGGAAAAGAATGCCCTTTCATACTAGTCTTTTGCTGTTTTCAGGTACTCGAACAGTTGTGGTAGCCCCAAACCATCAGTCACTGTGGCTGGCTTTGTATTACTGTCTGAAAGGAAAAGCATCCTTGTGGGTGAGATGGGGGCCCTGCCTCAGCTAACTGCTTCTCCCCCTTTTCCAGGGAAGGAGCACGAACAGTAGTGCAGCAGAGCCCTAAAGCAGACGTCTGAAAGCAGGAGCCATCTGTGAAGTTCTGTTTCATCTCTGTGCAGTTTTTCATTCTCCATCATAACAGGTGGCTGAGTGGTGGTAAAATAATGGTTTCTCCATTTGCTCCCCTCCGACCTCAATAAATTGATGTTCCAGAGAGATATTTTAGGTTTATTTTGTGGCTGTGAGTGCCCTAGACAGACCATTAAGTGCCCCCAAGGTCTATGCTTATGTATTTTGAAAAATGTAGCCTTAAGGGACTCAGACCCTCCTAATTGCCCCTTTTTGGGCTGTCGGCCTTAGATGGGCCTGGCTCTAGATCTGTCTGGGTAAATCACATGTCTGATTTCACATATTATTCTCTCTAAATATCTGCCATCTGTGGGGACAACTAATTCTGGCCTTGCTGTCCTCTCTCAGTGCCATTCTCCCTCTTCAATTGCTGGACCACCACTCAGCCTCCCATTTGCTTAACCATCCACATTGTCCTTCATCTTTCCAGTTTGATTTCCTTTCTGAAATGTTTCTGCCAGTGCCTTTAATGCTTTTCAGCTCACTAACTCCATTGGCTTTTTCTTTTTTCTTTAGACTTTAGCCTGCTCCATCTTTCTGCATTTCCACTATTGATGGTGAACCATTGTATCAGGCCGTTTAGGGTAGATTGTGCTGTGGTAGCAATACCTTGGTGACTTCCCAGAACAGATTTGTTTCTCGCTCATGAAACTGCATGGTAGCTGTACCTCATTCTGAGATCTAGGCTGGAGAAGCAACCCCTGTCTGGAACACTTTGGGGCTCATAGTAGAAGAAAAGAAATGGTAGGAGTATGTGATGGCTCTTACGTCTTCTGCTCAGAAGTAGCACATGTCACTTCCACTCACATCCCATTAGCCAAGTCAGGTCCTACAACCAAGCGTGATGTTGATGGGGCAGGAAATAGAATCCTCTCTAAAACCAGATCTGGTAGGGAGGTGTAGTATAGATTTGACAATAATAGACTCTCCCCAAACAATATCTTTTCAGCTTTTTATGCACTCAGAATCTTACACAGTGCCTGTCATAAAATGGATATTTAATAAGAGAAAGACCTACTTCTTTCTTCCCCAAATTCTCTTCGTGTTGGTGTTGAGGTCCTTGGCCAGACTCCACCTGTTTCTCCTCTGGGTCATCTTTAGCCTCTACCTTTACTCAGGTGTTTATCATTAGCATGTTTCTTCATTCCCCTTACCTGTTGCCTGCAAACCGTTTTCCTCTATACTTTGATGTTTTGGAAGTCCACCATGGTTAGGTTTTGTTTTGTTTTGTTTTGTTTTATTTTTAAATCTAGTTTGGGCAGTTTGCGTTCACACTGTATTTCTGAATGGCTCAGCAAGACAAAGGAAACCTAGAGCTGTGATTTTAAACCATGCTAAGCCACTGTGAAGGGAGTCAGTTGTTTAGAACTCTGATGATTTCTGGTTTGCCATTTGGAACAGAGTCATTCTGGTTGAAGTTCATATTCCAACAAGTGAATTAACCCTAAGCTTTCATCTGGTAGTAGCTGGATTAGAGAGTTGCAAAACGGCTTGAGCTTAAGGCAGATAAAGAAAACCTCACGTGAGCTTCACGTAGACTTTGTCGGAATAATGTCACTACCCCTGCACTAGCGCATAGAGGAGAATATTCTCCTCTGGAACTTCTTTTGGAGTCTGGCATAGTCTTAAACACGTCTTTTCGGAGTTTCTTCATATTAATCACTGTCTGTTTTTAAATGGTCTGGGCATTTAGTCCTTGCTGTGTACCCCCAAACACTTTGAACGGCTGCTGCAGAGTGAAGTGTGATCTGCTTTGTGATGCACTTTTTTCATATAGATATTTTAGTTCCTCTACTAGATTGTAATTTACTGAAGGAAGTAGGCTTTTTTAATCCCTTTATCCCCCTCCCCTTTCGGTAAATTCTAACAAATGCTTGTTGAATTGAATATGACTGTTACAGTTGCTATGTTAATAGGTATAACATTGACTATCAAGTTAGAGTTATAAAGTAGTTGGCTATACTATTAATTTTCAAAGTGGAGTCATTCTGTATGCTAGCTCTCTGCAATTGGCTAAATGATTAGGCAATTCAAATGCATGCGTTTTTAATGTGTTCGGCTGCAGTGTTGTAGCTGACGCTATGGGTGCCCACCCATATGCCCCTAGCACCTACCTTTCCTAGACTGACTTGGAGCCGCCAGCATCAGCAGCTCTTTGCCCGAGGGCTTGCTCTGGTTCCTGGAGACCTGTCTGCCCTGTGTGGACATAATGGGGAATTAATGTCCCCCAGTGGCTGCCCTCAGCCGTTGACTGACAGGAGTTGATGGATAAATGCCCCAGCTCCCTTGCCTCTCGGTTAGGATATCTAGAGAGTGTTTGGCACCCTCTGCCAGAGTTCCCCAGCGGGATTACGGCAGAGTTGCCCACTGCGGAAACTTGCTTGCTAATGAGGCACCTCTTCCCTGCTCTGCCTCACTTCTCCATGCTACCATCGACATCTCCTGGAGTAACTCCAGATTAAAATCGAATCCTAGCCTCAGAGTCTTAGAGTTTCTAAGAGCAATCCAAATCAAAACAAGTATTTCTTTTTTTTTTTAACATTTTTTTTTATTGAGTTATAATGCGTCACCAAAACAAGTATTTCTATGCCAAAATTTGCAATTTAATGATTTCTCTATTTCGGTGATGTCCAGTGGAAATACAATGCAAACCACACAGATAATTTAAAATTTTATAGTGACCACATTGCGAGCACTCAACAACCACATGGGGCTAGAAGCTGCCATATTAAACAGTGAACAGTGGTGATCAGTTTCCTACCATTGTAACGTGTCAAAATTTAGAGACTTGAATATAGAGCTCTCGAATATAGAAGGGTGTATTGTGGGTCATAGTTTCCATTCTCAGCAAAGTCTTACATGCATTCTCCTTTTCTTTTAAGCTGAATAAAACCTCTAAACATCCAGAATGATGGGCACCTTGTTTAGACTGAGTCTGCATATTTATCTTCGTTCAAGAATGAGCTTCTGGCAAAAACAACTCAAGACTGAATGACTTTGTACATGTTTGCATGCAAAATATAGACGAGATGCTCAGCCTCTCTCTGTTTGTGTGTTTTCAGGCAGAGGGTACCAGACTTCAGCGCGAACTCCGAGGATATTTAGCAGCGATCAAAGGTAATATGTATGAGTTGTTTACTGCATGTTA